GCTGAGCGCCGCATTGGCTTAGTCATGGAGATCGCTCGTACCTCCTTGATCCATGCGGTTGCCCCCCATTTCCTGTGGCCGTTTGCAGTCCAGTACGCTGCGCATCAGCTCAACCTCTGGCCCCGTGTCTCCGCTCCGGAGACCTCGCCCACACTGCTGTGGACGGGGCAGGTTGGCGATGCGTCGCGTTTCCGGGTCTGGGGTGCTCGTGCCTTTGTCCGCGATACCACTGCGGACAAGCTCTCCGCCCGCGCTGTGCCCTGTGTCTTCCTTGGCTTTGTCCCCGACGCGCCTGGTTGGCAGTTTTACCACCCCACCTTGCGCCGTGTCTTCCCCTCTCAGGACGTCACCTTTGACGAGTCGGTACCCTTTTACCGTCTGTTCCCCTACCGCACTGCTCCGCTCCCTCCCTCGCCTCTCTTCCTCACCCCAGGTGCCCCTTCGGTAGACCCCCTCCCTCCCCAGGGTCCTGCTCCCTCAGGTGTTTCCCAGGTAGACGCAGTCGAGCCTGTCGAGGTAGCTGTTGACTCTGGTCCTGAGAGGGGTACTGAGCCTGGGGGTGCTGAGACTGGGGGTGCTGAGCCTGGGGGTGCTGAGACTGGGGGTTCTGGGCCTTGGGGTGCTGAGACTGCGGGTGCTGAGCCTGGGGGTGCTGAGACTGGGGGTGCTGAGCCTGGGGGTGCTGAGCCTGGGGGTGCTGAGCCTGGGGGTGCTGAGCCTGGGGGTGCTGAGCCTGGTGGCGCTCCCTCTTCACAGCAGCTGCGTGAGTGGTACTCTCAGCGTTGCGGCCTTCGGCGTGGGGCTACTGGAGCTGCGGGTACTGTGTCGCGGCCGGAGCCTCCCTCCCCTCAGCGGCTACGTGAGTGGTACGCTCGGCGCTGCAGCCTCCGGAGTGGAGCTCCTAGTTTTGAGGTGCAGCCTACTGGAGGCCCTGCTGCTACTGGAGGTGCTACTGGTGCTGCTGGAGGTACTGGAGCTGATGGAGGTGCTGCTAGTACTGGTCCTGCTGGAGGTGCTGCTGGTGCTGCTGGAGGTACTGGAGCTGCTGGAGCTACTGGTGGTGCTCCTGGTCCTGGGACTGGTGGTGCTGCAGGAGCTGGTGCTACTGGAGGTACTGGAGTTGACACTACTGGAGGTGCTGCTGGTGCTGCGGGAGTTGGAGCTGCTGCTGGGGGTTCTGGTGCTGTCTCTGCTGGTTCTGGGGGCACGTCACGGCCGCGGCCGTACTTCGTTCCGCTCCTTCAGCAGGTTCTTGGTCAGCCGCCTCCTCCTTGTCCTGCTCCCTCCTTAGAGTGTCTTTCGCCTGTCCAGTCGCAGTCACAGTTACAGCCTACCTCGCCACTTCCTGGTCCTTCTCCCTACACTGGTCCGACAGGAGGTCTTACGGAGCATCGTGAGCCTGAGTCTCGTCCTGTGTCGCCCGAGTCTCGTTCTGCATCACCTGTTCGTGCTGCTCGCACTGGTCGTCGTGTCCCGCGTCAGCGTCCTCCTGCTGTCCCCGGCACTCACCAGATGTTGCTTCGTCTTTCCACTGCTCCACAGCGTGTCCCTCTGCCTTCTCCTCCTGCGTCCTCCCTTCCTGCCCTTGCTGACCTGGAGTCTGACTCTCTTCGTGCTGCTAGTCCTACTGTCACGCGTCTCCTGGCCACAGTTGTCACTGACCCTTCCTTTGAGTCAGCTGCTGCGTCTGCCTTAGTTGCTGAGCTTGTCGACTTTGCTGCTCACTGTAGACTAGACTACGCTGCCAGTCTTGTTGCTGAGTCTGAGTCTGTCTGTCCTCCGTCCGTCGAGGGTGAGTGTGCTCTTGGCACGGACGTCCTTGAGGACAGGCAGGAGGAGTTTGAGTGCTTTGCCGCCGCTGTACCTCATCTCGTGTCCATGCTGATTGCACCTGAGGGAGACCCGGATGCTCCAGACATCCCGACCCCGCGCTCTTACGCTGAGGCGATCGCGGGTGAGTACTCCTCTCAGTGGCAGACAGCCATGGATGCAGAGATGGCATCCTGGAAGTCCACTGGCACTTACGTCGACGAGGTTCCACCTCCTGGGGCGAACATCGTCAGTGGCATGTGGATTTTCAGGGTGAAGCGGCCGCCAGGTTCTCCGCCTGTCTTCAAGGCTCGGTACGTTGCTCGAGGCTTCAGTCAGCGAGAGGGAGTAGACTTCTTTCAGACCTTCTCCCCCACCCCGAAGATGACCACTCTTCGGGTGCTGTTGCACGTTGCCGCTCAGCGTGACTACGAGCTTCACTCTCTTGACTTCAGCACAGCTTTCTTGCAGGGCAGCCTGCACGAGGAGATCTGGCTGCGCCGCCCTCCTGGCTTCACTGGGTCGTTTCCTCCTGGTACCCAGTGGAGCCTCCGCCGGCCAGTCTACGGTCTCCGCCAGGCTCCACGTGAGTGGCACGACACACTAAGGACTACACTTGCGGCTCTTGGGTTCTCGTCTTCTACTGCCGACCCGTCGCTGTTTCTGCGCACCGACACTTCACTGCCGCCGTTCTACATCCTCGTGTACGTCGACGACTTGGTCTTTGCCACTGCTGACATTGAGGCTCTCGCCCACGTGAAGTCGGAGCTGCAGAAGAGATACACGTGCACAGACCTGGGTGAGCTGACAAGCTATCTTGGCTTGCGGATCACCCGGGACAGAGCACGCCGCACCATCACACTGACTCAGTCACACATGGTGCAGCAGGTCCTTCAGCGCTTCAGTTTCACCTGGTCCTCGGCACAGACCACTCCTCTGGCTACAGGTCACTCGCTCTCAGCTCCACCTTCGGACGAGTCCGTAGAGCCGAGTGGTCCTTACCCAGAGCTAGTTGGTTGCCTCATGTACCTAATGACTTGCACTCGTCCTGACCTCGCGTACCCTCTTGGCCTTCTGGCTCGCTACGTGGCTCCTGGTCGGCACCGAAAGGTGCACATGGATGCTGCTAAGAGGGTACTGCGTTACTTGTGCAGTACGTCAGGCATGGGGCTCGTGCTTGGAGGGAGGCGCTCAGTTGTTCTCACTGGGCACTCAGACGCTTCTTGGGTTGACGACCAGGCTACTCAGCGGTCGTCACAGGGTTACACCTTCAGCCTTGGCTCTGGTTCAGTTTCTTGGCATTCTACTCGCTCGTCTTCAGTTCTCAGCTCCAGTTGTGAGGCTGAGATCTATGCCACAGCCATGGCTGCACAGGAGCTACGCTGGCTGACCTACCTGATGACCTATTTGGGAGAGCGGCCTAGTTCTCCTCCAGTGCTGTACGTCGACAACAAGGCTGCCATTGCCTTGTGTGAGGAGCACAGACTGGAGCACAGAACGAAGCACATCGCTCTCCGTTACTTCCTGGCTCGAGAGCTGTAGCAGCGCGGTCAGCTTCGTCTGCATTACGTGGCCACTCGGGCCAACACCGCTGATATATTCACCAAGGCACTTCAGCCTGGTGATCATCAGCGCTTCTGCACTATACTGGGGCTTGTGCCCACTTTTCCTCACTTACTGTAGGCTTTGTCTGTACTGTGATCTCTATATATATATACCTGCCTGTTTGCTTTGCTAGGTTGAGATCACTTTGCTGTTTGTGTTGCATATATGCCTCTGCATGTGAACTGGCCCTGTGGCCCTTTGCTTGTGCTCAGAGTGTGTGGTGACGTTGTGATCCACCCTGAGCTTGCTTTGCCTTTCTTGACTGGTCTTGTGACCCCTTGCTCTCCCCCACTTTGCCTATGGGGGTGTGTCAAACATTATCTATATGTTATTGCTGTGTAGGCTATAGTGGGTTAGCCTTTAGGGGGTACACAACTCTAGGGTTTCATACTTGTACTCCAATGTTTCATAGTTCAATCACTTCTTGTTTCTGAGACATGATGAAGGTGCTGCCGACATGGGCGGCGTCAACGTGGAACCCGCGGGCAAGGCGCTGTGGCGATTTCTGCTCACCAAGGCGCTCACGCTACTCTCCCACCACACTCTCCTGCGAGGCGCCATCATCCGCGAGATCACGCTCCCCAACATCTTCTTATACCGACTGGCTAGCACCTCGTCGGTGAAACCCGGAGAACCAGCCGGTCGTCATGGTGATCGCCGCGCGGAACTCGAAGACTTCCAAGGATGCCCGTCTTCAACAGAGCTACGCGGCGCGACACTTGGAAGCGGAGTTGTGCGCCATCGGCGAGACCGGCCTGTGGTTGCACTTCATCCTCGACCAGATCGGTCAGTTCAACGGCGTCGACTTCCTTCCGCCGCTTGATACCACCGACCGCGAGCGCTAGTACAAGAAGCACCTTTTCTTCGCCCGCAACGACAAGGAGCCAAAAGAGCTCTCCGCCGCCAGCCACCAACGTTGGATGTGGCAAATGTGGATGACCAACAAGGTGTTCTGCTAGCGGAACGTGCATGCCGCTCGCGCCGGAGGTGCGCAGGAGCTAGCCATCGAAGGGACGCCTCGCGCCGAGATCGCCGAGCTGGGTCACTGGGCACTCGACAAGATGATGCATGGTTACATCACAGCCATTCCCGTTGGGGTGGTGATGAGGAAGGCCGGCTACTCGGGTTGCAAGCAAGACTACTTCTTGGGTCGCAACAGGGTCGAGCCCTCCGACAAACTCTTGGACATCATCGCCGAGCACATCTTCCCCGGCGTGTATGCTCTGCTGCGCGATGTATGTTAGTCGACGCCGACAAAGCCGCCGTGCACTTCTGGCGTACCCTCCAGATGATGCACCGCATCGTCGCCGAGGACCTCGCGGTGAAGCTCGTCCGCACCCCTTGGCACCCGTACGTCCAAGGTTCCAAGCTCTGCCGGATTGCCCTCTTTCAGCACTGGGCAAAAAGGGTCGAGAAGATCGACACCGAAACAATCAACAAACGCCGGGACCCAACCCTCATTCAGCTAGAGGTAAACCGTCGCTAAAGTCGGCGTCGATCTGTTACGGGTGTATTCTAAACTATTTTCGCCTTTCCGCCTTGTTCTGTAGGAAATCTCTGTCCGCTTGGACACCGAATACCATAACATGTCCCTCAAGGAGACGCTGAAGTACGAGAGGGAGCGCTCCGCGGTCGAGAAGATTGACCTTCAGGAGGAGATCGAGAAGCGCGACGATACCATCGCGACGCTGACCGCCAAGATAACCCGACTCACCAAGGCACTCCGTGTGTCAGACGCACGGAGGATGCCGGCGGTGCCGCCGTCGGGGAACGAGCAAGCGCCGAGCGAGAGTGGCTCCGCGGATTCGGCCAGTACGGGGGGCAGAGCCAAGAAATAGGATGAGAAACCCCCGAAACCCCCACAGACGTTCAACGAGGCTCGTTACGAGCTCAACGTGGTGCAACCTTGGCGGGAGGCAAAGACCGTGAGGGACGCTTGGCGCCTCTAGAACTCCGCCACCGCCGATGACACCCATCGTCTTTGCGACAGGGTCGTCGAGTCGGGATTCGTCGACCGCCACACCCTCCTCAAGGGCGCGACGCAGGGTGCGCACGACATGAAGGTGTGCCGCATGCTGAAGGCCATGGATGCAGTGCGCCTTCTTCGCTCGAGTGACGGCGATACCGACACCGAAGCCGTTGTCGACGCCCTGAACAAGATCGCGGCGCCAGGCATCGGGACATTCTGCGATGCCCTCACGGTGCTCAAACCGGGAACCGCTCCGACGAAGTCCAAGGAGCCTGGCATGGGCGTCAAGGGGCTGGGCCCCACGTCGGTCTCGAAGCTTCGTCTCGCCTGTGCGCTGGTGGCGGTCAACTTGAAGCCGAGTGCTTGGGTCGCCGTCCAGTTTCCAGACATCTGGGAGGATCAGATGCCGAAGACCGTGGCCGACATGGCCAAGCAGACCGCACCTGTGCTGCGTCCTCCGACGAAGCGCAAGAAGGCGGCATGAATACCTTTGGAGCATATGCGTGTGCGTAGTTTGATGATGCTGTAATTGTGGCCGATTTTACCAAACCATGATGCTTATATTGTTCAGGAAGTTGGTACACAAGACGAACCTAAGGCACATAACAGGGCCCATGCGAACCTAGATGATCCAACAATGGTAACTGCAGTTGGTCGCTGACCAACAAACAACCCGAATATACTTGCAGACAGCCAAACCCTCTATGTCGACAGACACTAAACGACGCCGACGTATTGTCGAACTTCGTTATATACGCCGACAAGGTTCATCCCCGAGTAGCATGTGAGTGTGCAATTCACAGGGTAGCGATCAGGTCGACATCACCGACGAGGGTTCTAGTAGCATGCAGTACCAAAAAGTTACATGCACTACCACATAAGCAAACACAAACAAAAAGTTACAAGCACAAAAAAAAAAGGATCCAACAAAATAACTACGCAATCGGCGCTGGCCATACCAAACTGTTATACACCCTAGCAATCAGACCACCTAGCGCTCCCTCCACACGCCGACTACACCGCCGTGCTGTCCTTGCCCTTCCTGCCCTTCTTCCCCGTGCTGTCCTTGCCCTGCTTGCCCCTCTGCCCCTTCCTCCCCCTGTGTTCAATATCGTACTCCATCTGCGCTTCACACGGCACCGCGATGCCGATCTCTTCGAGTTTCGGCCCGGCGACGGGGCACATTCCCCAGAACGCCAAGGTCTCCACCGTCGCTCTAGCGATCACGTCGGCTTCGACTTCATGATCCACCCCCAGATAGACCCGGTGCAGAGCGAGACTCTGCAGCGCCGGCGCGACGTTGTGCGCAACCTCCCCGAGGGGTTGCTCCCCGTCGATCTCAGCCTCCACCACCGCTTGCATAACCTCCTTGAAGACATCGGCGGTCTTCTCGCTCGCACCGACCACCATCGCCGCTGCCTTCCCTTCGCCCACAGCATCGACCACCTGGGCGTCGTCGTTCTTGACTAAGCACCACACGGTGCAAGCGGAGGCCGATAACGCCTGTGCCGCAATCGCCGTCTTCTCATCAGTGTCTCCCTCCTTCCTCGCCGCGCTCGCAGCAACCTTCCCATACGCAGCGCACATGGACACGTGACCTATCATGGCCGACATCATAGCATCCGACTTCTCCTTGCCTTCCTTTGTGACGGCATCGACGGGGAACCAGATCGCCGGCAAGAGCCCGTTGTCAAACATATATGCTTAGTTATATCTAGGCTTAGTTTATGTGTTTATAGTTGTCTAGGCTATAGCGGGTTTAGCCTTAGGGGGTACAGATTTCTCTCGACATTCTACTTGTACCCCTTCCCTTTTCCTAGTCAATCATTCTCGCCTACTATTCTCACATGGTATTAAGAGCATTACCTTCCTAGGATCCTAACTTTAATGGGCCCACCACCTAAGTAACTGCTAGCCTAGGCCCCGTGGCGTCGCCCATAGCCCCTAGGCTCGGCCCCTTGGCCCGTCGCCCCTAGGCTCGGCCCCTTGGCCCGTCGCCCCTAGCTCGGCCCCTCGGCCCCGTCGACCCGTCGATTCTGTCGCCCGCGCCCAGCCCGTTCCTAGCCCCGCGATCGGCCAGTACCTAGCCTCGCGCACGGCCCCGTTCCTAGCCCCGCGATCGGCCTGTACCCGCCCCGCAATCGGCCCGTACCCGTCCCGCGCTCGGCCCCGTTCCTAGCCCCGCGCTCGGCCCGTACCTAGCCTCGCGACCGGCCCGTACCCTGCCCGCGCACGGCCCCGTCTCTCGTCCGCGCTCGGCTCGTACCTAGCCCCGCGCCCGGCCCGTACCTAGCCCAGCACACGGCCCCGACCCTAGCCAGCGCCCGGCCCCGTACCTAGCCCGCGCCCGGCCCCTTCTGTCGCCAGCGCCTGGCTTCGTACCTAGCCTCGCGCCCGGCACCCGTCTCTTGCCCGTGCTCGGCCCCGTACCTAGCCCCGCGCCTAGCCCCATTCCGCGCCCAGCGCCAGGCCCCGTACCTGCCCAGCGCCCGGCCCCGTACCTGCCCAGCGCCCGGCCCCGTACCTGCCCAGCGCCCGGCCCCGTACCTGCCCAGCGCCTGGCCCCGTACCTGCCCAGCGCCTGGCCCCGTACCTGCCCAGCGCCCGGCCCAGTACCTGCCCAGCGCCCGGCCCCGTACCTACCCAGCGCCCGGCCCTGTACCTGCCCAGCGCCCGGCCCTGTACCTGCCTAGCGCCCGGCCCCGTACCTGCCCAGCGCCCGGCCCCGTACCTGACCTGCACCCGGCCCCTTGTTTGGCCCCTCGGCCCCCCCTAGGCCCCTCGGCCCCCCTAGGCCCCCCAGCCCCTTGTTTGGCCCCCCGGCCCCTAGGCCCCTCGGCCCCACCTCAGAGCCCGGCGCCCGGCCCCCCCGGCCCCTTTTTTGCCCCCCCGGCCCCTTGTTTGGCCCCGTGGCCCCTAGGCCCCTCGGCCCCACCTCATAGCCCGGTGCCCGGCCCCCCGGCCCCTTGTTTGGCCCCTCGGCCCCCTAGGCCCCTCAGCCCCCCTAGGACCCCCGGCCCCTTGTTTGGCCCCGCGGCCCCTAGGCCCCTCGGCCCCACCTCAGAGACCGGCGCCCGGCCCCCCCCGGCCCCTTGTTTGGCCCCACGGCCCCCTAGGCCCCTCGGCCCCCCTAGGCCCCTCCGGCCCCTTGTTTGGCCCCGCAGCCCCTAGGCCCCTCGGCCCCACCTCATAGCCCGGCGCCCGGCCCCCCGGCCCCTTGTTTGGCCCTTCGGCCCCCTAGGCCCCTCGGCCCCCCTAGGCCCCCCCGGCCCCTTGTTTGGCCCCGCGGCCCCTAGGCCCCACGGCCCCACCTCATAGCCCGGCGCCCGCCCCCCCCCCCCCCCGGCCCCTTGTTTGGCCCCTCGGCCCCTCGGCCCCCCCTAGGCCCCCCCGGCCCCTTGTTTGGCCCCTCGGCCCCCTAGGCCCCTCGGCCCCCCTAGGCCCCCCCGCCCCTTGTTTGGCCCCGCGGCCCCTAGGCCCCTCGGCCCCACCTCATAGCCCGGCGCCTGCCCCCCCGGCCCCTTGTTTGGCCCCTCGGCCCCCTAGGCCCCTCGGCCCTCCTAGGCCCCCCCCCCCGGCCCCTTGTTTGGCCCCGCGGCCCCTAGGCCCCTAGGCCCCTATGGCGTCGCTTCGAGTTCTCCCATTCGACCCGGAAGGCAGACCTGTAGCATTTGACACGTGGCACGACGATCTGCAACTGTACCTACTGAGCGTTAGTCGGGACAGTGTCTCACTGTTTGACCACGTGTCCGGTGCCGCTCCAGCCCCTCCCACCACAGCTGACGTTTCGACTCGTTCCCAGTGGCTGTCTCGTGACGCTACTGCCCGCTTGGCCATTCGCAACCACCTGCCCGCAACCGAATGTGCTCACTTTGGCGAGCACAGGACAGCACAGGCCTTGTACGACGCTGTCGTTGCTCGCTACTCCTCCCCTGCCACTGCTTCTATTGGCAGGCTGCTACTGCCCTACCTGTTCCCTGAGCTGTCGGCTTTTGCCACAGTAGCCGACCTGGTTACCCACCTGCGCACTAGCGACGCTCGCTACCGCGCTGCCGTCCCTGCTGAGTTCCTTCCCACGAACCAGCCCCCCATGTTCATCACCCTCTACTTCATTGTCACTCGCCTCCCTGACTCCCTTCGCTCTGTCAGGGACCACTTCCTCACCCTCGACCCCACCTCCCTCATTGTTGACCTCCTCGAGCAGCATCTCCTCGCAGCTCAGACTAGTGCAGTTGCTGTAGGTGCTGCTCGTGGCACTCCGCGCTCACCCTTCTTTGAGGGGTGCTCCCCCTCCCCCCTTTCCTCCTCCTTCGCCTCTGCTGCTGCTGCAGACGTCTCTGCTCCTGAGGACGTCGGTGCTGCTTCGACTAGTACGAAGCGCCGCAACAGCAAGGGCAAGGGTGGCCGGGGTAGTGGAGGAGGCAGCGGTGGTGGTGGAGGTGGCAGTGGGAGTGGTAGAGGGGGCAGCGGTAGAGGAGGCGGAGGCGGTGGAGGTGGTGGCGGCGGTGGGACCGGTGGCGGAGGTGGAGGCTCTGGTGGCGGCGGTGGAGGCAGCGGAGGGAGTGGCGGCAGTAGAGGCGGTGGGACCAGTGGTGCTCGGTCTGGACTTCAGCGTGGAGGCTCTGGTGGTGGTCGGGGCCAGCAGCAGCAGCGTCGGAGCGAGACTCATACGCCCCAGCAGCTCCGTGAGTGGTTGGTTCAGCGTGGGGCGGGTGAGGGTAGTGAGACCTGCCCGTATGTCATTCGCACGGGTGCCCGTGCGGGCCGGACATGCGGGAGGTTTCACACTGAGCGCCGCTGCTTTGCCCGCCTTGACGACGCCAAGCGTACTGAGTTTGGTGATGACGTCGAGCGCCCTCGCTGGGCGGAGTTGCTTAGGTCGGGAGTTGCTATCTTTGACCTAGACTTTGATGTTATTATCTCTGCCATGTATGCTTTGTCTTTTAGAGCTGAGGGTGACTGTTACTGGTGTGTGCCGCCTGACCCAGGTATAGCTGCTGCTGCTCTAGGTGCTAGTGCGTCTGGTACTCCCCCTGGTACTGCGCCTGCTGAGGCCCTGCACACCTTCACGTTGGACTCCGGCGCCTCGCGCTGTTTCTTTCGTGACAGCACCACTCTCACTCCTCTTCCTGCACCTGTTCCGGTCAGACTGGCTGACCCCTCTTGGGGCCCGGTCGTTGCCAGTTCCTCCACTGTCCTCCCGTGTCCGGCGGTTCCGTCCGGCTCCCTCCCCTCGTTCTCTACGAACTTGGTGAGTACCGCTGCCCTTCAGGATGCGATGGTCACTACCACCACTCCTGGGGGTCAGCGTGTGTCGATCTGCACGTGCACACGTACGGGGCGTCACCTGGCTACGTTCACTCGTCGGCCAGGGTCGAGTCTGTACACACTGGCTACCGAGCCTCCTCAGGTCGCTGCGTCTGCTCAGGTGTCCGCGTCAGGTCAGGTAGCCGCCTCTTGCTCGTGTCGCTTCCTGTCGCACCA